TAAATTTTTAATACTTCACAGAAAAAAGTTTACTTGTAAATTTACTGTGAAAATCACAGGTAATTTGTAACCCGAGATAATAAGGGTAATATTCCAACGAAATGTATTTTTAAGTTTGAATGTGATATTTACTTTTTGAATGTAAATCGAAATTACAAAAGAACATGTAAAATTACAAGTAAAATGTAATTTTGACGATTGTAAATTTACAATAAAATATGTAAATTTCCGTGAATGGGTATGTAAATTTCCGTGAATTGGTATGTAAATTTCCGTGAATCGATATGTAAATTTACACAAATTATTGTTATTTTTAGTACTAGTTTTAATCAAAGAAACCATGTCGGACAAAGTGAACCTTTTATTTTATGGTGAAAAACATAATAAACATGTAATAAAATCATAAACACAAAACAAAGTCATTGATGTTGTATATACTTTACATTAATTTAATTTGTTCATAAGGCCAATTACTTTGCGTTTTGTTGGTGTTATTCTTTTTGATTTGGATCCTTGATCTGGATGTATTTTCAAAAAAAATCTTTGCATCATTTCCAAAACTGCTGATACTTCGTCTGGATATTCTAAATTCATTATAAAATATAATCCAAACGCCCAAGATACTGCATCTTTTAAAGTGACAACACTTGGAATCACTACTTGTCGTTCTAAAACTACGTGATAAATTGTTTGTGGATCGCTCTCTAGAAAAATACAAAAATACATTAAAATGTTATAGGTACAAAGACGTTTTAAATACTTGCCTATTTCAATTACACATGGCGCAGCCACCTTGATAATTTCATTTAAAGTTTTCATATCATCACCCTGTGATAAAAATTGCATTAACATAACAATTAAAGATGACATGGGCAAATTATAGTAAGTAATTATCCGCCTGGAAAGTGTACTTTTGTAACTGGAGGAAAAGAGTAAACCAGAATAGTAAAGTACTTACCTTTAACAACAAAATACACTATTTTGTACAAAATATATTACCACAACTAATGCACTCCAACTTTTTATAACCTGCAAGCGTTATAGTAATGATTGCGTGCGCATCAACAATTCACAGTATGCATGTGATTTCACCGGTAGACTGGATTATTTTACAAAGTTGGAAGTAATTGTAAAAAATGTTAGTATATTTACGGTATTATAAAGTATAATTCATTTATAAAGTGAATATACATTTACAATTGCGATTCTGTATTGTGTTTTTTCAATTTGACTTGTGAAAATACAAATAGTGACACAAGTTTACTTATTTTATGCACAATGCTGCTAACTTACGTAAATTTACTAAATTTAAGTAAAAAAATACATAAAAAGCAACAGTAAATTAATTGTAAATTTACACGACTTTTTTCTGTGTTCGATTTTACAATGTATACCTAATTTCGTTTTATCGATATTGCACTTTTTCGATTTTTAAGTTCCTCAATTTTTAGTCAAATTTCAGATTTTTCAATGGTTCCGTTTTATACATTTCGTATTTTAATTTTTTTTATTCGAAAAGTTGAAAAATAGAAGAATTAATAAATTAATAAACTAAAAATTGAAACACTAAACAACTAAAAATCGAAAAAAGTAATAAATCGAAAAATCAGAAAGAAGAAAAAACGAGTCCAATTGAAAAATTGGAAAACTCCAAAAAATTGGGAAAGTGAAAAATTATAGAATCGTCAAAACTTTAAAGAAAGTTCGAAAAATTGGAAAATTAAATATCGAGAAATTGAAAAATTAAAAATCGAAAAATTTAAAAATCAAAGAAATAATAAAATATGGAAAAATTCTAAAATCGTAAAATTGAAAAAGTGAAAAATTTTAAAAATTATAGGGGAGTAATTATTATTACCTATTTAAAATTAAAACTAGAAAAATTGCAAATCGAAAATTGAAAAAACGAAGAATGAAAAATTGCAAAACTGAAAAATCTAAAACCGAAAAAACAAAAAATAACAAAATCTAAATAAAGTTAATTAATCAAAAAATTTAAAACCGAAAAGTTGCAAATCTAAACACTGAAATATCCAAATGAGGAAAATCGTAAAAATGAAAAATTTAGATGAAAACTCGAAGAGTTGTATTTCGAAAAATTGAAGAAACGATAAAGTGGAAACACTGAAACTGAAAAAGCAAAAAATTATAAAATCGGAACATTGAAAAATCGAGAAATTCTAAAAATAAGCAAATTGAAAAACCGAAACCAAAAACTGCAAATTGGAAATGAAAAATTCAAGAAACGAAAAACGGAAAATTTTAAATTTTCAAAATCTAAAAATTGAAGAAACAAGAATAATGAAAAATTGAAAAATCGCAAATCGAACAAATAAAGAAACGAAAAATTGATAAATTTTAAATTGAAAAAACAAAAACAATTTAAACTCGAAACATTGGAATCTCGAAAAATAGTAAAAATGAGGAAAATGAAAAACCGAAACGAAAAATTGCAAACTGAAAATTTGAAGAAATGGAAAATTAAAGAATCGAAAACTTGGAAGCTCCAGAAAATTTAAATCGAAAAATTGCAAAATCTCAAAATTGAAAGCTCGAGGAAATTTAAATAAAAAAAATTCAAAATCTAAAGATCGAAGAAAAAAAAAAAATTAAAAATAAATTATTGAAAAATCGAATAACTGAAAAAATAATGAAAATAAACAATCGCAATCAAAAATTGAAAAATTAAAAATTTAAACTCGAGAAACTCAAATTGAGAAATTGTGAAATCTAAAAATTGAAAGATTAAAAAACTAGAAAATTTAAATTTGAAAACTTGAAAAACTCCAAATCGAAAAACTGAAGAAACAAAAAATAGTAAAAATAAAGAAAATGAAAAACCAAAACGAAGAACGGCAAATTGAAAATTTGAAGAAATGAAACATTAAAGAATAGAAAAACTGAAAAATAATTAAAAATTGAAGAAACAAGGAAAATGAAAACTGAAAAATCGCAAATCAAACAACTGAAGAAACGAAAAATTGAAAAATTTTAAACTGAAAAAACAAAAACAATTTATACTAGAAACATTGGAATCTCGAAAAATAGTAAAAATGAGGAAAATGAAAAACCGAAACGAAAAATTGCAAACTGAAAATTTGAAGAAATGGAAAATTAAAGAATCGAAAACTTGGGAGCTCCAGAAAATTTGAATCGAAAAATTGCAAAATCTCAAAATTGAAAGCTCGAGGAAATTTAAATCAAAAAAATTCAAAATCTAAAGATCGAAGAAACAAAAAAATTTAAAAACGAATTATTGAAAAATCGAAAAACTGAAAAAACAATGAAAATAAAAAACCGCAATCAAAAATTGAAAAATTAAAAATTGTAACTCGAGAAACCCAAATTGAAAAATTGTGAAATCTAAAAATTGAGAGATTAAATAAAAACTAGAAAATTTAAATTTGAAAACTTGAAAAATTGCAAATCGAAAAACTGAAGAAACAAAAAAACTGTAAAAATAAAGAAAATGAAAAACCGAAACGAAGAACGGCAAGTTGAAAAGTTGAAGAAATGAAACATTAAAGAATAGAAAAATTGAAAAATAATTAAAAATTGAAGAAACAAGGAAAATGAAAACTGAAAAATCGCAAATCGAACAACTGAAGAAACGAAAAATTGAAAAAATTTAAATTGAAAACAAAAAAAAAGTTTAAAGTCCAAACATTGAAACCTCGAAAAATTATAAAAAAGGAAACTGAAAAATCGAAGCGAAAAACTGCAAACTGAAAATTTGAAGAAATAAAAAATTAAAGAATCGAAAAATTGAAAAATTAAAAATTGGAAGCTCGAGAAAATTTAAATCGAAAAATTGCAAAGTCTAAAAATTGAAAGCTCGAGATTTTTTAAACAGAAAAATTTTAAAAACCTAGAGATTGAAGAAACAAAAAAAAAATAAAACATTGAAAAATGGCAAATTGAACCAACTAAAAAAACTAAAAATTTAAAAATTTAAAATTGAAAACTCGAGAAACTCAAGTCGAAAAATTGCAAAATCTAAAAATTGGAAAATTTAAATTTGAAAATTCGGAAAATTGCAAATCGAAAAACTGAAGAAACAAAAAAAAATAAAATTTCGATCTGTGTAATTGTTGTTTACGCCATTGATTCAATTAATACTTTATAGAGGTTATTAGAAAACGAAAATCACAAAAAATATGTAATTTTTCACAGAAACGGGATTTGTTGAGCTCCACTTCACGGGCGAGGGAAGTTCTGTCGAAATAACCTCCGACAATTTTTTTTTGGAATTAGTGAATGATTTATGCCTTGCCTCCATTTAGATTTTACTTTACTAAATAGCCTTAATCTTGTTATCAGAGACTGGTGTGAAGCATGTGAGCACTTAGTATAGTCTGACTTTACATTAAATGATGGTTAAATTTGAAATCCAGTTTTTGACTGTAATTTTAACAATAATTTAGTTTGTTTAAGTAAATGCTCGTTTACAGAAGAATTTAATAGAAATGAGTTGTTTTCAGATCTTTGTAAACCAAAAACAATAAATTAATTTCAGGTCGCTCTTCTCATATACGAAGTCGTGAGTCACCCCCTACAAGATATTTCTGAAATTATTATTAATCTTAAACGAAACGTTATTTGATGGAAATACCGTGAAGCACAACAGCATTATAAAGAACTAATTAATAATTTTGTTTTTAGCGAATATTTTTTCACTTTATTGCATATTTCTAAATCTAATATTTTTTTATGAATTCCGGAACAATTTGTCGCTCATTATTTTACATTATCCTGTACAGACTTTCAAATAACGCGATGCTGAAACGTTCGCTATATTATGCAAAGTGAAACGAAAAATTTAATTTCGTGCTTAATTATAATTTAAAAATAAAAGACATACTCTCTTAAAAAATCCGAGAAAACAACATTCTCTGCAGCATTTAATAAGCTTCCGAAACAATTCTCTCATTAGCAACTTGTTCCCAGCTCCCCTTTTCTCCTCTAACAACGCGCTTCATTAATTACGTTCTGCTTTTCAGGCCACTGTCCAATTCGAGGTCCTCTACACCCTTCCTGACGAATCAACAGCGTCCTTCGCTGGCAGCAACGCCTATGACATCCTCGATGATGAACAGCAAATGCTCATTGACATTGAACAGAACATCGCCAACATTGAACGCAACCTCACCCAAACGAAGCTCAAGCACGCGAATTCTGTGGGGACGCCAGAAAAACCATCAATGTCGGCGGATCGAAAAAGAAGTTCAACGTTAAAAAGCGTAAGGAGTCTAATAAGGTTTGGTAAACAACGGCCACCCAAGGACAGCGACAACGAGGAAGAGGTGTCTTTGATCCAGGACTCTGCCAGGACCTCGAGGCAGGTTTCGGAGTCTGAATCGGCGCCCATTTCCCGAGCTGGCAGCCAGAGCTCCGTTAGCTCAAGGGAAGACAATCAGGAAGTGGCACTGGTGGAAAAGAGGAAAGCTACCAAGTAATTTTAATTTTTTAATACAGTCGGGTTATAAATTAAAATAAGGGTTAAAATTTTTCAAAGATGCAGTTAATTTATGGCTTGTTTAGAAAAGTATGAATCCAGGAGATCTTTACCTGATCAGTGAACTAACTATGAACTGAAATAAAGTCATTAACTTAAATAGCTATATAGTTTGGGGAAGTTTATTTACGGATAATGATACCGCTGAGACGTGAAATTTCTGCTCTCGAATTTTCACGAGGGAAGCATTTTCACCCTCGTTTCTATCATACAGTCGGGACTTTAAAGCACACATTTGTCATTTAGCAAACTGATTTGGAATTGCCAATAACACTTAAATTACGGTTTATCATCTTTTCCAACAAATCAAGAAATTGGATTTTTCAAATTGTAACTTATTAGATCTGAATGTATATTACATCCACGACTTCCTCTTTCTCGATATAAATTTAACTTAAATATTTGTCATGATTATTCCCGATGTTTTGCAAAAAAGTATTCCTATATTATATCTCCATTTTTGTTAAGTTTTTTTTGTATCCAAAGCTAATTATTTCTACCATTTTTTGCTTTTGTAGTGGACACAATAAAATTTCACAGAGCATAAAAAACAGAGTACCTAAGATGCAATCCAGGATGTTTTACAACGATATTAGATACAAGAGTTTTTTGATTGATAGTTTTCAAAATATATACATTTCAAAAGAAAAAATGGTTCTGGTTAAAAATCCAGAGCATTTTTAAAAGTTATAGTTACATTTTTTTTCTCAAAAAAAATAAACAGATTTATTGTGATTAACAATTTACAACAATAAAAGTGTTATTTTCACCAAAATTTGGATCCTGTAAAATTGGTGATTTTAGTAAAGCATTTTTCAATGTTTCAAATGAGTTTTTACATTCCACATTCCAACTAAATTGCACATTTTTCTTGCTTATCTTTTTATTGCCGCGGCTCTGCTAGCAAAAAAATTTGTAAAGTTTTTTCTCGTCTTCGTTCCTTATTTTTTCTCAAAACAATACGATAATGCTTCAAACATATTTCACTCCGTAATTTCTTGTACAGAAATATGGACTTTTCGGCTAAGCTCCACCTCTCGGTCTCACGACGAATAAGAAAATTTCTCACAATTGAGATGGGGTGGGTGGGTGGGGCTTACCCATTTCAAAAATAAAATACTTAAATACCAAATGGTGAAATCTGGGTTAGAATTATGTTTTAAATAAGTATTATGTTGAAAGTAAACTGTACATTAAGAAAAAGAAGCCATTGATTAAGCCCCACCCACCCGTCCCTGTCTCAACTGTGATGAATTTGACTTGTCACTTCGGAGGACAAAAATCCACATTTCTTTAGAAAAATTTACCATTAGATTTCGAAGTATTCAGTTCTGCAATTCTTCATTTATTTAATCAATAAAATAAATTGACTCAGTCATTAATTTTTTTGAGACTCCCTGTATAAGCAAATCTAAAAAATATTAATGGAATAGTAAATCACAAGGACAGACTCATCATATTTTGTACATTTTAGATAGGATTTGTAATTTTGATTTTTTTTCCAAAAATTTAGACGTTTCGATAAAATTCAAATTATAAACTATACGTGTAGGACTATGTTTACTATGTAGTTTATAACTCCGTCTTGAGTTTTTACCCTAAACGTCCACATTTTTAGAAAAAAAAAAAATAAAATTACAAAACAACATTTTGCAATTTAATTTTGAATCTACAAAACTGAATGCTTTGAAATCTTGCAATTGTTTTAAGGTTATGATAGGCATGATTACGTCAGCTCAAAATTTTACAGAATAAATCCTATCTAAAACATGTCTGTACTTGTGATTTATCATTCCATTCATATTTTTTGGATTTGCTTATTACAGGGTGACCCAAATGAATGCGTGAATTTATTTTATTGAACTACAAAATTGAATGCTTTGAAATTTTGGAGATGTTTTAAAGTTATCGTAAGCGTAGTAAATTTTTGATCAAAATGTATTTCGTCATCCTCCCTAAAAAATTGATGACGTCACCTCAAAATTTTGCTGAGCAAGTGCTATCTAAAATGTTCGAAATATGATGAGTCTATATTTGTGACTTACCATTCCTTTCATATTTTTTGGATTTGCTGGATGTTTTATTATACGAGTACTGTAGGTGCGAGGGTAATTCTGTCGTAGTTTTGTAACTGATCCTAATTTTTATTTGGATAAATGGTCAGTTTTAAGTAAATTCTGGAAAATTGGAGTTTTTCTGGAAATCATATAATTTCGATATATGGAACGTGGAAGTATTTTATATTATTTTGTTTTATTGAACAGTGAAATGTAAATATTTTATTATTAGATGATTGGGAATCTTGGAAATTTTTTGAAATCTATCAAAGGTTGGAAGAAAATTTATTTTTAACTACTGTGTAGTAGACGGCAATAACAAGTAGTACGAGATATAACTTTTATTTTTTGGGATTTTGACAGTTTACGTGAATGTGCGTTAACGTTTAGAGTTTAAACATAATTGATCACTGATAACTCCCTGCAAGCGACAGAGGTCTCATTATTTAAAAATCTTTATTAATGTGCCAAGTATGTATTTGTTGAAATTATTTTAACTCTACAATTTTTAGTTCTAAAAATAAAAAATCAATAAGCTAAACTATTATCGTACCTAAGTTAATAAAAGCACGTACTTTACTTCCATGCATTGAACATGACACGCTTGTTGAGTCGTTTTAATCCTTAATTATGGTAACAATGACAAATCTTCCAGAAGTTTTCTGATCAGTTGACAAATAAAAATAAAGTTTTCTGGTCACTTGGCATGTAAATAACCAAGTTCATGCAACAATATGTCGTATTTCCTTAATTTTCATACTTACTTGTTTTAAGTTTTTTAACCAAATTCTGATGATTTCTTTTTCCTACAATTTTCTTTAGCTGTCTGTAATCATAGTCCAACCATCTATTAATTTTCTTAACAATATCCATTTTTCTACTCATGTTTGGGAAAATGTAGATATAATTTTTAGCCGTGTACTAACACGAAATCATGGGAATTATCATAAAAAGTGAAATTTGAGCTTCAGATCTGACAGTAATTTTACACATTTAAAATGGGAAGAAATTCTACACGAAACAGTGTAAGGCGAGAAATTTCATGAGACCTACTTACCCCGTTTTAAGTATTTAAATATAGATTTTAATTATTTTTTTGCATTAATGTGCCTTAGATGTTTGTCTGCTAAATAATCTATTCACGATTTGATATACTGCTTGAATTTTAAACAAAAAAAAATGCGGTTGTAAAAGTGTTGCAGAAAAAATCTTACATGGAATTTTTATTAAATAAAATAGGTGATAAAACTCGGAATTTTGAAGATACGTCTGATAGCATCTTCAAGATTCACATGACAAGTAGAGCACTTTTATTTAGTAAAAATGCTATCGGTCTGAATTTTTGACGTCACTGTAAAAAGTTATGGTGAAAAAACATGTCATCGATTTAAAAAGAGGACGCCATCACTGAAGAGTTTTAAGCATTGTCCGTAATTCTAAAAAAAATTGTTTTTATGGAAATTTAAGTAGAGCGGGAAAGAATTATTTTTGAAATAATAAAGGTCATATAGGAATAGTTAAATGTGTCTGAAGACCCAGAGTGGTCGAAACTCCTACTCAACTGAAATTACCAAAATTTCAAAACAAAACTGATTTTTAATATAATATAATATTAAATACATATACATATTATTATAATATAGCCATCGAGTCCATCGGACGAATGGCCACTTTTACGTTTCCTTGACATTTTATGACTCCTAGTGTACGAAAAAAATAGTCTCCAGTTTCCGTCTGTCTATCTGTCATCTGTGTCGATTTTTACTAGACACATAATCTCCGAAACTACTGAACCGATTGTCGTCAAATTTTGTATGTATATTACGAATCGTCCCCTATATACTCCTATATTTGTGTTGTGGTGTACGAATTCGCTTTGAATTTTTTCCGTAAACGGCCACACGTTCATAAAAAAATTAACACAATATAATAACATTTTACCACTAACTCAGGATATAACCGTCCGTGGTCATGTGGTTAAGGCGTCAGCATGCGGACCGGCGGTCTTACGTTTGATGTCAAACTTGGCTGTTTGTGCTTTTCTCATTTTCCCTCTTGCTGTATATTATCTATGTTTATGACGTCATAACAAATTTTTGATTGATCAAATTAAGAACGAGTCACCCCATTTTCTCGAAAAGGTAAGAACACGCACGTCTTCATTAATAAGAATAATAACAATACTCAGACTGTGGCTTAATTAATAATTTTAGTCCTGTGTTTTAAGGCAACAAATTAATTCAAATCAGACAAATTTCTACGTGACATTCTTTCGATGTACAAAAAACTTGTTATTATTGCTGAGAGGCCATTTTTTCTCATTGGTTATCTGCTTTAAATATATTTTATTTGTGTAATTTGGACAATCCCTTGGAATTTGCGCCCCCATGACGCAGACGCTGCGGGAGTGTTATTTATGCAGCCGGTTTTTACTTTCTAGAGTTAATCACAACACAAACATCCCAAAATCTAATTTTATCATTTTTCAACAAGCGGAATTTGTTGGACTTGTACTTCAGGACCGAGGGAAGTTCTGTCGAAACAAACTTCCACCAATTTTTAATGTTTAGAAGTGCCATGAATTCCAACAACTCGTATTTTAGAAGATTTTGATCTACTCCAAACTTACAGATGTCAGAACATGGGAATTGATACAATAAATATTGCGTCTTCGTGAGACGATTTAAGCGCAAATGAGTGTATCTGAATTATAGTAATAAATTCGGGAAATATACCAAAATATGCCAAAGAAAAGAAACATTAAATTACAGTTAGAATTGAACTGTTTTTTAGAAGGTTTCATGTTTATTGGATGTATGAAACATAAAAAAAAAAATGTTGAAATTAGTATTTATAACAATATTACCAAGGCTGCAAACA